AGTATGAAAAGCTTGCACTGTGAGAGCTGGGAGACACGGAAACTAGGCATGGCAGCATTTATTCATGCTAAAGCAAGCAGGGCTTTCAGAAGTCCAACCTGATTAGACTTATTACTTGATAATCTCCTATTTAGTATGAACCTCAGTGAATCTCAGCCCAACAATGGATTAAATTCCTTTTATTATTATTTTTTTAAACACAGCATGCCTTTCCAACAGCAGAAAAAACAAACATGGAGAGGAATTTGCTGATCCAAAGTCATTCCTTCCTAGCGAATTCCAATTTTCTACAATGACCGTGAATGAAGACAAGTAAAAAATATGGGATCTCCTTGGACAGTGGCAGTGTTGCAGAGTCCCAGGTATACTGGGGCTTTCCTAGAAGCATGCCAGTGAACATGCTCTGAGCTGTTCAGTAATATATTAAACAGCTTCCCTGATAAGATTTTAGCACTGTAACCATAAAAACTCAAACTGTATTAAGCTCCAGTGAACCAGAAGACTTTTCACAGAACTAAATGCATTTTAAAGGGGAATTAAGGACCTATGCTACAACAGTGGAAAAACCCAAGGTTGTAGATGGTTTTTACAAACACAAGCATAAAACTTCAGCCATGAAAACTCAAAATCCCAGTGCACCATGTGCTGGAAAAGCAAGGAGCATGCTGAACCCTATTGCATCCCTGCACTATGTTCCACTGAAAAGACCCTGTGGTACAACCTCCCACTAACCACAGTGAGCACCTGTGTGGCTCTGCTCTGTCACAGACTCTGTGGATGTGGCACAAAAATGCCTACAAGATCCACCCACAAATACAAAGTTCTTCTTTGTGGTGGAAGGAAGTGGGTAGCAGGCCCCTGCTCCAAGACTTCTGACGCAGAAACCCAAACCAGCCTCATAGGAGAATTAAGGAATTTAGTTCATTTCCAACCACAGATCACTTAGAAAAAACTCGCCTAACCCTCTCTTTTACAAGCAAGAGAAAAGAGCTCATAGCTCGTGGCTGTTCTTTTAAGTCTCTTATAATCCAAGGAAGAAAGAATGGTAAGAAGGAACTAAAGCAACCTAAGCCACTAGTTAATTAAAAAGCATAAATCCAGAAGAGCTTCTTGCAAAACATGGTCTGATACGAACTATGCTCTCTGTTATCTAAGACTAAGGAGCCTTTGAATTTCAGAGAGCTGTATCAGAACACGAGCCAATGCCAGTGATCGAAATCTGCTACCTCCCAGATACTTCTGTAAACAGTGTCCAAATGCTTTTGGACACTTTTCGTTTAGATGTGTACGAACACATCTAAACAAAACCACTGTGGAGGCTGAAGGAGGGCGCAGGCACTTCCTTGGAAGCACTGCAGCCTGTGGGATGGGCCAAACCCCTGCGTGTTCCCCATGCTGGGAAAGCACTTCCATGGGACAAGTGAGATGCAAGCCATGTTCAGATCAATAACAAAGCGAGCTCCTTGGGATGCCAGCATACCCACCCTTCACCCAGAGAGGCCCCTAGTTTCTACCTCCGTGAAGTATCTGTAGCTAGGTATCAAACAGCACTGATTTTCTGACAGTAAAACACTGTCCTCTGATGTCCATCAAGGGCTGCTTTGTGTTACACTGTGTCTGTGCAAGAATGGGAAATTGGGAATGGAAAATTGGCTTCCACTTGGGATGAAGAAGTGAGTGTAAAATAAAGACAAAGCCTTGACAGTCATGGCAAGGCAACCTGGAGACCCAAACCCTGCTGGAACATGTATCAGGGATTTTAAACCAGAAGGCCCTTGGGCTGTAATAAGGCAACTTCATCAGTATTTCCAGCAGTCACAACACGCTCCTTGAAGCAGGTATCTGCTGGTAGCTAACGATAAGGATAACTCGGGGAGATCTGTCCCTGCTTGCACTGTCTGAGCAAGAAGCGTGTGCCTGGTATTTTTCAGCTCAGAAAGATCATCAAGCGAAACAAACAAACAAACAAACAAAAAACACACAAAAACTTGTAGCTTTTTGATGGAGGCTAGTGCTTTGAGGGTTTGTTCTGCCTGTCTTGAGCCAAGTCATGTAACTTCCTTTGCACTCCAGCTGGAATTTTTGGCTGCTCTGGAAATACCAACATGGGTTCCCTTTGTTTTTGTATAAAGGACATAGGCAACAGATCAGAGAGGTCTGGAAAACAAGCAGAAGAAAGAGAATCCCGAGGAAAGGTATAAGCAAATTAGGTAGAGCCAAGGAATGGTTCCTTGCTTAACCTATTAACAACAAAGAAACATCCAGGTTGTTCCCAGTTGTTGGGCAGTACCTCTTAGCAAGCAAAAACTGCAGAGAATTGCACAGGAAACCAGATGACAGGCACTATAAACAATATAGAAAGCTCAGCTGGACTTGTATTTTGTCGACTTCACCAAACAGCATTTTAATGAACTTTTTTTTTTATCCCCCTGGAAATTAATCTATTAAAAAATGCATGTGCCTTAAGTAGTATTTTGCATGTTAAGCCTTATGTAATTTCCTCTAAAATTAGTTCTTTTCTTCTAGGCTGCTTTATAATCTCTCCAATGATCTCTCTGAAATCCAGTGTAAGTATACAAGTGGTACTTCCTGTGCATTTTAACGTCTGGGACATTTTGTTGGACACTACTGTGCAAATTGACCTTTATCACGCAAAAAAAAATAGCCACGTGACAGAGACAAAAGTCAGCTTTGTAATGATTCTCTCAGTTAAAGTAGGAATAGGATCCCCAGCCATTAAAGTGCCTGTGGCTGATCACTGTGTCTCAGGGCATGTGTTTTAAGGCAGCAGAAGAGGCTGTGGTAAGATTCACTCCCCCCTCCTTGGGAGGTGAAGTTTGGGTTAATGGTTGCAGGAATGAAGAAAAGGTGGTGTTAGACCTACTTGCACCTGTGTCCTGTCTCCTCCTCCTCCGCCCCCTCTTAGCATGCTGCAGAGTAGGGTGGGTGAAGAGGAGCATCTAATCGTTCCCAGATGCATTCCTTTCTTCTGCTGTATGCCCCGTCTCGTCTCCAGCTGCCTCCCTTCCTGCTGACGACAACCAAGGCCAACAGAAGTCAAAGCTCTCCATTTCCTCCTGCCCAGGACGAGCTTTCCAATAGGATGTACAAACAAGCAAAGCTAAAGCAAAACAAGCCCTCCCTGTTACACCTAAACAAAATAAAATAAAACAAATAAACTCTGAACAGTCAGGACCTGCTGCTCTAAACATGCTTCTCTGGACCTCTTCTCAGACTTGAAAGGCTGCTCTCTGTTGTCCTCAAAGGACACAAGCCTGATAGACTGTGGACTGCATGCTAGAAGTTCAGCCTTTTTTTTTTTTAATCCCTTTAAGAAATCCAGAAAAGTGGATCTCCCATCTGGAAATATTTGTTCTGCTACAGAAATGGGCAGGGAGACCTTTGTTCTAATTCCCATTGCTACTGGATATCCGAGTATGCAGTAAAGCAGTCTTCTCCCAGGCTAACCTGCTTTGATTCTCAGTATGTTCCCTCTAGGAGTTAACACTAACACAGTATTTCCAGCTAACACCTAAATCCAATGTTTTGCACAAGGTTTGTCAAAAGCAACACAGGGCATTTAAGCAGCAACCCAATCCTTAACTAACCTTTACTACTTTCCTTGGGAGCTTCAGAAATACTGCTTTTCAAGATACACTTGGCTCGAGTTGTGGGAAAAAAAGAGAATGAGGAGAGGGAGGCTGTCACATACTGTGCTTCTAAAATTTCCTCCTCCACAAAAATGGTACTGGTGCTGAAATACCGCCCTTGAGACATACCAACTATTTACTGAATGTCATGCTATCTCCCCTGGCTTCCTGGCAAAATCCAGTCCCCTAACTGCCTAGTTCAAGCTTCACAGAACCACTTATTTTTAAAGCACCATCCCTAAGCAAAAACTTGGGAAGAACTGAGCTCCTGCTAGGATGCAACCCTGATCAAAAATATTCTGAGTACAAACTGCTATGTGTGATTCAGAGGAGTCCCACCACCTGCTTTAATTGCAGACCAAAGTAAGCCAGTGACAATAACACTGGCTCTGAATTTCTGTGACTTTTCATATCCATCTAATCAGACCATTTCTCTTTCTCACTGCTTGCGAACTTCCTCTGCCAAACCCTGCTCTGGATGGCTCATCCCCTTTGTCACGGCATCCTGAATCGTAAGCCACAGGCACAGTGTCTAGGACAGTGAAAAACAGGGCTTTGTGGTTCCACCTCAGCTGGAAACCAAGGCAGACAGACTACATTTCTTTGTATTTCTGGGGCTTGTCTGAAGTCTTACACCAAATTTAGGCAGCTTCGCATGACTGAGCCTCTCAAATCCATTTAAGGTGGTTTTACAACTATTATATTTTCTCTTCCTTTTCTGTCCTATTAAGCTGTCTTTGTCTTAACCCATGAACTTTTACTTTTTTTTTTTTTTTTTCCTGCTTCAATTCCCTCCCCCAGTCTAACAAACGAGCGTTACACAGCACAGCAACACGATAACATTAACCCAGGGGTGAGCAGCACAACGCGGAAAACACGCAGCAAGTAACGTGCTATATACAGTGCAGTTCTGAGACCAGACACAACAAATCCAAAAGCAAAACCAAACAAAAATACAACATGACATTGTGATCAGCAACTATTACACTGATCTAATGCTTCTAATAGTCTTGTTTTAAGATGACCTGGCCAGATGTGTTGTTGTCTCACACTGGGCACACAAGGGGTGGTTGTGGCGTAACCCAGCAGGCACCGAGCACCGCTCCCCAGAGGATGAAGGAGAGCATCGAAGCAAAAAAAGAGAAGTGCAAGGTGACAGGTTGAGATAAAGACAGCCTAATAGGACAGAAAACGAAGGGAAAATATTAACAATAATAAAATATATGAAGCAAGCGATGCACAACGCAATCTCTCACCACCTGCTGACTGATGCCCAGCTTGATGCCCAGCAGCGCGCACCCTCCCAAGCCAAGCACCCCCTGCAACCACTCAGGACACCGCACCCCTCACCTTGCTCGCAGGCTCCCTTGCTGCGCTGGGCGATGGCCGGCTCCCCGCGGCTCTGCGCTCGCAGGCTGGCGGCTCGGAGCTGGCAGCCGCTGCCGTAGGTCCTCCCATCGCTGCCGCACACCGGGTAGCGGCTCTTGCACAGGCACACACCCACCGGGGCAGGGGCTGCGGGGCCGGCAGCCGGCTCGGAGCCACTCTTCGCCTTGCGGCGCTTGCGGCTCTTGACGCACTCCAGCCCCGAGGCGCAGCGCCCCCCGCCAAAGCCGCCGCACGCCTCGCCCTCGCCGCGCCCGCACTGCCAGCAGCAGCCGCAGGCGTCCCGCACCCGGCCCAGCGGGCAGCCCCGCGGCGGCAGCGCCGGGCACCGCGCCGGCTCGCAGGGCCCGCAGCCCCCCGCTGCCACCGCCCCCGCCCCCGCAGGCAGGGCGGGCGCCAGCAGCGCCGCTGTCACCAGCAGCGAGAGCAGCATCGCGGCTCGGCGCTGCCTTCCCCAGGCACCGGCTTAAGCCGAACCCGGGGAAACTCCTCCCTCGGCGGCCGCCCCCTCAGCGCCGCCGCCATGTTGGGGGCCGCCCCGGCAGTGCCCGTCCCCTGCTTTTCCCCGTAGCTCAGCATGGAGCCCCCCTTCCTCGCCTGTGAGGAGACCTCAGTTCATCGCTGGGTGCAGAGGGACCCCTAGTGTAGCTTTGCGGCTCGTGCTCTCGTGCATTCGTTGAACTTCGCAGCGTGAGCAACAGGCAGATAAATGGCAGGAGGAGGGAGGGCAGCTGCTGAAGTGCATGTTCCGCGCACATTGCTGTGAACACGGCAACACATATTTGTGCCTTTCTGTAAAACACTAGGACATCCAATGAGAGATGCAACAGATCACAGAATCACAGAATCACAGAATTTCTAGGTTGGAAGAGACCTCAAGATCATCGAGTCCAACCTCTGACCTAACACTAACAGTCCCCACTAAACCATATCCCTAAGCTCTACATCTAAACGTCTTTTGAAGACTTCCAGGGATGGTGACTCCACCACCTCCCTGGGCAGCCTGTTCCAGTGCCTAACAACCCTTTCAGTAAAGAAATTCTTCCTAACATCTAACCTAAACCTCCCCTGGCGCAACTTAAGCCCATTCCCCCTCGTCCTGTCACCAGGTATGTGGGAGACCAGGCCAACCCCCACCTCACTACAGCCTCCTTTAAGGTACCTGTAGAGAGCGATAAGGTCGCCCCTGAGCCTCCTCTTCTCCAGGCTGAACAAGCAGATGGATGGGCTTCTCCTCAGACGGGAGGCTGAGGACACCTGGTTTGCCTAGTATGGAGAAAAGAAGGCTAAGAGGCAACCTCACTGCACTCCACAGCTTTCTGAGCTTTGTAACATGAAATGTGAATCTTTATCAGCCATTAATACAAGCGCCCTAGTCATTTTGTAGGAACAATGGGATTGGATGCGTTTTAAATATGGTTTGAAGGATCAGGCCAAGCAAGAGGATGCTCTTCTGACACAGAGCAGCACACCCATAGTCACCAGTTGAAGACCAAACCTAAACCAGCTCTATCGGGGCAGACTGAAGGTCTGTCTAGTCAGGGCCCGGTAGAGACTGCTGAAGATGAGACTGTACAGGTCTCATTCCCACTGCTAGTGCCCATTCTGTGAATTTCCCAGCACACAGCAACATCCTGCCTTCCTACGAAATGATGGCAGTCGTTTGCATCACAACACGCTGCACAGCAAACCAACTTTAGTAGCACTGTTTTACATTATTTAAGCTACTTCGAAGGATCGCTTTCTTACATCATAGCAATAATTTTATTCATTGCAAAAATGATGAGGAAAAAATTTGAGATAGTTTCCCAATTATGCTCTCTTAATGTGGGCTAGACTTAATACGAAATATTTAATTTTCACTGTCCTTAATCTGACAGCCATTTATATGTACTCTAAAAAACAGTAAATGGGTACTTTATATTACAATCTTATTATTTAAGGGAAACTACCCAAAAGTGACGATTTAGAAACAATCTACCTTCAAAACACACATGCCACTCTCTTCTTTGTAAAAGTCTGTAATGTGAATAAGTGTTGAAGTATAAGAATAAGAAAATAAGAAATAAGTAAAGTGTTGTAAGCATTAAACTGTTATCTGAGTTTTGCATATCAGCTTTTAATCATGGTGCTGAAACTAAAGCCTGAGGCAGGTCCAACATCAGTCCACAAGTCAGGGTCCAAGTCAAGGATTTGGGGACCAGTCCTCCTCAAACACAATTCAGGGCAGGAAGGAGGGACCAGGATTGAACTCAATTAGAGGAGCCCCTGTAACCGTGGGCAGGGTGTAGACAAAGGCCCTAGGTGAGGCTGGTCATAAACATTCATGGCCATCAGTGCAGTCTGGGCCAAGAACACTTCAGAAGAGAATTCATATTCAAGGACAGGAATAGAAGTTATTGAAACTCAAACCCGTAAGCAAAATCCATTAGTGTTACAGAGTCAGCTCTAAGCAGCCTGTAGCACATAAACGACACGTGCTGTTCTAATATGCTATGTCAGGATGTAAGTGTTGCTGCTTATGAGTTCTGTTTTCAGTAAGTGCTTTTATCAAGGCTGTGTTTACAATGAGGCAAGTTAAATTCTCAGACGCTATGCAAGACAATGTTTTCTGCACTCCACCACCATCAGTCCCATTAATGATCCTTCCTGAAATAAACATGCCACTGCATCAGTAGTTTTCGCTACGGGTGAAGCGATTCATGGCAATTAATGTTTAATTTACTGTGTGTTTTCAGTTTTCATTAAGCCTCCTTTGTGCTAGTTGTGTTTCTGTGAGGGTGTGGGTTTAGATTATTTATTTATTTATTTATTTTTGTTCTTCTTCTTTATGTAAAACACGGAGTGGAGACAACTCCTGCTGCAGTATTTAATGGAAAGGCTTAGCAGTGAAAAAATGTCGAAGAGCTTGAAGGCTGTTTCAATGGCTGAAGGAAAATAAGTAGGATTCTTTACATCCTGGCTAATAGAGTCTGACAGATGGTAAAATTATGCCAATATCACGTTTTCAGGTGACCAAAGTCACAAAAAACATTGATTAATGTCTTCTGACTGCCCAAGTGAGCTAGCAATGGTAACAGCCAGGTAGGTAACAGAGATGATTAGAGCCCAAAATAACAGCACCAAATAATTGCTGTTAGTTTAAATCCTGACGTGTTTCATGAGATGCAGAAAGCAATCTCCCAGTCTCCACCTCCCTCCCCGCTGGGCCAAGCAGAAAGGCAAAATGGAAGATTGGCATAAGTCCACTCCATCAGTTCATGTTATTATTCACCTGTTGTTTCAGGGCCCTATCTTACATTAACCCTCCTATTTTCTTCATTAGCCTTTTCCAGGATTAATATCCTTTCTTCTGGCTGGAGGATGGTATTCAACAGGACTTGCATATCTTTCCAGGCTATTTGAAATACTCTGTATACCTTTTCAGGATGTTCACAATAAGAACCCGTTGACTCTTTCCAATTTATAAAGTCAGAGGATAAAAAAGGATTCTTGGTAGATTGAGAAGCCCTGTGGGCTCACTGCCTCCTGGTGTGGGGCCTGCATGATTGGATTCCTAGTTTTTGTCCATAAGACTGAATCCTGATGCTGATCTAAATTCTTCGTATCCTCCTTGTCTTTAATCACCACTTCCCCTGTCACAACCTCTCTCATTTGGATTTGCACCCCCAGGTCCTTTTCTGCCAGGCACCGTTCCTCTCCAAGCATGGGATTGTTATGACCCAAGTGCAGGACCCACCTTGTTAAGCTGCAATCAGATCTGGACCGCAGCTGCTAAGGTCTTTGGAAAAGGTAGCTCTCAGTCCAGTGCTTCAAGAGAGGAGAGGAGAACCTAAGTTTTTGAACCCATGGCATTTTTCCCCCCAGAATACTTTTTCTCTCCTTTCTTCCCTTCCTTCACTCCCATGCATGATGCAATTCACTGTGGCTTTCAGTGTTGCAGCTTGAAACAAAGGGAAGGAAAACGATTCACTTTTCTGCTTCTTCTTTATGCTTTTTATAAGCAAAGAAGTGAGAGAGAGAGTGAATGTTCTTCCTCCCACCCAAATTACTCTTTTTTTTTGGTTTGTTTCTTAAACTAGAACTTTTTTTTCCAATAAATCCCAAATGATCTACTCACTTTAATTTCCTTCACAAACTTTCCTTATTCTAACCTCACATTGCCCTTCCACAATGAAAAGGCATAAATAGCCTCATGCTGAAATGTCCAAAGAACACAAAACTTGATCAGTCCATCTTCAGCTATTAACAATGCAAGATTAATTACCTTACAACCCATTGATGAAATGAGCTCAAAAACATTTACTATGTCATTCAGACATTTACTCTTTCTTCATCAATCTCTTATTGCTACCTGAGTTACAATTGCTGTCTGGCTAATAAATGAAGAAGCGGAAACTTTTGAGTTATTCCTATTAATGAATTAACTTTTCAGGTATTTATTAAAGTGGCAAATGAAGGGGTTGGAAGATAATAAATCTACTTGAAATGTTGAAGAAGGTAAAGATTGGATTCCAGCTATTCCTTTAATCTACATTTACGTTTACAGAAAGCAAGCACAGTAGATCAGTCAAGGGAGCAGTCTGTGCAAGAGGAGATGTTCAGAATATTTTCAGATTGCATTGACTAGAGACAGCAGAAGTGATGGCAAAAGTAGGCTCATGCTAAGTGGATTTTTGGGAGACAAAAGATGTATTGTTCTGGCTGCTCTAAGTTCACCTAGCACCCTCCTGGGGCATACAAAAACCACTGTGATTAGAGAACAATGCTGCACCTATAGTCAATTTTTCCCAAGAAGCCCTTGGACAAGGCCTGAATGCTAAGACCATTTAGTTGGACTGTGGTGTTTTTTGTTTTTTTTTGTTTTTTTCCTAGCACCTCAATGTTTATCTGTTTTTTAATCACCACTATTTGTACTGCAAAAGCATTGATGGCCCTAGGTGGGTGATGAGATGAGATGCTTTGAGTGATAATTCCCTTCTGAACAGCCCTGTGAACTCTATGTAACCCGGGCAAGGAAGAGAAATTTTATGATTCTCTGTATTGCAGAGGGGAAAAGAGCTATGCTTGTATTAACAGAACCAATGCTCCACCTAGAAGCTTGAAATGACTCACCCAAGACCATTCCAAAAGTCAGAGGAGTCCAGATCTTCTTCATTCCCTTAACTACATGCCTTTTTTTTTTTTGGTCCCATGGTTTACCAGTTACCACTAGGGATATTTCCCTTGGACAGCAGTTGTGTAAAGGCTCCTCAACAACCAGTAACAGTGGATTCCATGGGAGAATACAGCGGTCCTTTTGCTATTTCTCTATGTTCTACTTTGGTAGGGTTTCAAGTAGTGGACAAGAGCAGCAACAAGCATAGGTGACAAGGTCACTGATCCTTCAGGCAACATGCAAGTTGTAATGCCACATTAATTGGCAACTTATACCTGAAAACATGTTTTAAGTTCAAGAATTGATTGTTTCTTTATATTTAG